TTTGTTTTCCTCCGGTGTCTAAGTTTTCTCCCGGAATCCTTTTCTTTCTTTGTATAATATCCTCAGTTTTCTTTGAAGACATCAGAATTTGCTTTTTGCCTCAGCCACTTTTAGGTGTTCTGTCCTTAGGCAAGTTATCAAACCTCTGTGAGCTCTCTTCTGCTGAGCATAGAGTGGGGTAAACCTTCCAGAGTTTGGAAAGACTTAAGTGAGTTAATTTATGTAAAGGGCATGGAATGGAGGAGGTGCTCAAAATTATGGGCTCTCCGTTCTTCTCTCATTACTTTCCTTTTGTATGTTGGAAGTCATGCCTGTGGCTGATCTCTACAGTAGACTTTCTAGAGCCCTGTTGTCTTTCCATATAATCATAGATGTGACATAATACAGTGTGGTAGGGTATGATGTATGACAGGTTTTAAGGTGCTGTACAACCACAGCAGAAAACATTTAACCCTATTTCCCACAAGAGTTCCTTCTGCTCCACATATCATCTTTTTTTTTTTTTTTTAATTATTTTTATTCATTAGCTCTGTCCTCTGTCCTTTTCAACTTTAACTCCTAGTATTTCCTTCTATATTTCCCTGTGTGGTGGGCTGGGCCGGGCTGGGCTGAGGCCTCAGACTTGCCCTCACCTGCTTGCCTCATACTTACATGAACCAAACCCAACTCACTGCCATTGAGTCGATTCCCATTCATAGCGACCTCCATAGGGTTTCCAAGGCTATAAGTCTTTATGAAAGCAGACTCACCTTTCTTCTGTGGCATGGCTGATGGGTTCCAACTGCCAGCCTTTTGGTTAGCAGCCAAATCCCTTAACCACTGTGCCACCAGAGTTCCTTTAGCATGATACTCCTCTTCATTGAAATTCTACCCCTCAATCAAGACTACCTCCCTCCCAAAGCTTCCTTGAGCCACCCCTTGTACTTGTTATAATCATATACCACTTTAGGTACAAGTCTTAATTTCTTTTCTAGAATGAAAATTATTTCAGAGAGTGGATCTTGCAGAGTCAGTATGGGGATTAGTTATATATGTTAAGTGCTTATTTCTAGTAGGTGCTGAAAATGGAAGGTATTGTTATTTTGTTCTTTTTTGATTATCTTTGCACCCCTGGCTGTGGTTTTGCATGGTTCTTAGCAGATGCTGGGAGAATTCTGTGGAAGCCAATAGTAAAGGTTGTCTTATTTAGACCTCTGAAGATATCCTCTGCTGATAGAATTAGTTGTGCTTCTGGGTAGAAACCAGGACATTCTTCTGGCCCTTTGTCCCTCTGCCCTGGGTCCTTGCACACTGTCAAAGGGGTTTGGTTCTGCCAGAGACATCTTAGATCTGTTTATTAGACAGAATTGCTAATGAGAACCAAGGATATGTCACACTCACAGTTCATTCTGCCCTTGGCCATCTGCCTGGGGAATGTGAGTTGTCACTGGTGACAGGGTCCAGGTGGGAGAGTGTGGATGAACAGGGCATGTCTATTCCAGCTTTGGGAGAGAATGCAAGGTTCCGTTTTAGGCACTGGGATACAGTGGAGAACTAGAGAACCAAAGAACCTGCCCCTGGAGAGTTGACATTCTGGTGGATTTTCTCTTTTATTTCTCACAACAGTGTCTCAAGTGAGGTTCTCTGATTATCCTTGTAGATGAAGACACTGAGGCTCAGAGAGGTTGAATAACTAGTCCAGCATCAAAGGGCTAAGTACCAGAGGCAATATTGGAACACAGGTAGTTTGTCTCTCAAGTCTAGCCCACTTGCCTCCCTATATATGTTATATCATCCAAACATTCATATATTTATATGTATTCTTATATAGTACTCCTGGAAGGAAGATTGGGCAATCTACTTCCATAGAGATACTGCCTCGGAAACCCAAGGAGGGGTCCTATGAGTCTAATCAACTTGACATCAATGAGTTTGGTTCCTTTTTGGTTTGGTATATGTTTGTATATGTTATATATTACTCTATAAATGTATAACTATGAGGCTATATATGTATATGTTGTTGTTGTTATGTGCCGTCAAGTCGGCCCCAACTCATAGCGACCCCTCCTTGGGTTTCCGAGGCAGTATCACTACAGAAGTAGGATTGCCCAACCTTCCTTCTGAGGAGTGGCTGGTGGGTTTGAACTGCCAGCCTTCTGGTTAGCAGTCAAGTGCCTTAGGCACTATGCTACCAGAGCTCCCATATATGTATATATGCATGCCTATTTTTATAATTTTTCAAATTATACTCATAATTCCCATTTTAAAAGGAAATTTGGAAAATTCATAAAGTAAAAATAAAATAAGTTACCTATTAACCTACGGCTCAGGGATCATGGTTAATATTCTGGTTGTTTCCTTTCAGATGAATAGGTATTGGTAGTGTCTTAGTTATCTAGTGTTGCTATAACAGAATTATAACAAGTGGATGACTTACATAAACAGAAATTTATTCTTTCACAATTTAGGAGCCTAGAAGTCCAAATTCAGGGTCCCAGCTCTAAGGGAAGACTTTCTCTCTCTGTTGGCTATGGAGAGAGGTCCTTGTCTCTTATAGACATCTGTGAGCTTGGTGTTTCTTGAAGATCTCCATGCATCTTGGCATCAATCTTCCCTTGAGGCTAGTAGGTTCTTAGTACAGAGACCCTGGGCCCAAAGAGCCACTCCTGGCTCTTCTCTCTTGGTGGTTGTAGGTCCCTCTTTCTTTGTTCATTTGTAAGATAAAAAGTGATGCTGGCCATATCCCAGAGAAGCTCCCCTTAATCAGATCAGGGCTGTGACTTGAACAAGGGTACTGACTTAAGTAAGGGTGAGGTATCCCACCCTAATCCTGACTCATTAACATAACAAATACAACCTAATCCTCTTATACATAACCAAATCCTTTCTCATTGGGAGCTCTGGTAGTGTAGTGCCTAAGGCATTTGATTGCTAACCAGAAGGCTGGTGGTTCAAACCCAGCAGCCGCTCCTCAGAAGGAAGGTTGGGCAATCCTACTTCCGTAGTGATACTGCCTCGGAAACCCAAGGAGGAGTCGCTATGAGTCGGGGCCGACTCGACGGCAAACAACAACAACAACAACAAGCCACTCCTTGGGAAAGAAGATTGGACAATCTACTTCCGTAGTGATACTGCATTGGAAACCCAAGGAGGGGTCACTATGAGTCGGATCCGACTCGATGGCAGTGAGTGTAGTTTTTTTTTTTCTAGAATGCTTTCTCATTAACCATAGGCACAGGTTAGGATTTATAACACATCAGAAAATGGATAATCACACAATATTATCATGGCCTAGCCAAATTGAGGACATAATTCAATCTATAACAGGTAGATACCTAGCCAAGAACATACTATAGATTCTGTGTTCATACTACTCTCTTCATTTAACACTTAATATTGCTATACATATTTTCACTTTACTAGAGATACAATAGGAGCCCTGGTAGGACATTGGTTAAGGGCTTGGCTACTAATCAGAAGTTGATGCTTTGAACCCACTAGCTGCTCCAAGGGAGAAAAGACCCGGTGATGTCCTTCCAAAAAGATTACAGCCTAGGCAACCCCATGGGGCAATTCCACTCTCTCCTCATCATTGTGTGTTAGGATCAACTCAAAAGCACCTAACAACAGCAACAACAGAGATATAACCATATGATTCTGAATTTGAAATATATGTGCCTTTTTTTTTTTTTTTTTTTTGACATGTAACATACAGCTTGATTAACAAATCAAAATCCATGGCTTGGATTTCCTGAGTTCAGTGACTGTAATGGGAATGCAGGTGTGGAACTAATGACAACTGGGCAGTATTGCATTTCCTGGAGATGCCACAGGAGATGAATTTTCCTCTCACAGAACTTGCTGTCCTCTAATCCCCCCCCAGTGAAGAGCCTATTAAAACTCTCTTGAGGGTTTCCAGGTATACAGAACTGATACCAATGTGAAGAAAATTGCAATATGGAGACAATATACTTATATGGCCATTTTCCCATAAATGCCATTATGATCTACCTGAGGTAGTCAGGGAAGATACTGTTATTTCCATTTTAAGGATAGAAAGCCCCAAACCCAAGAGATTTGCCCAAGGTCAAATGATGACTATAAATAGCAAAGGTGGACTAAAACTCAGGTCTCTTTTGCTTCCTGGGGAAATGTTCCTCCAGGAACACTTCAATTCAACAAATTGAACTTGAGCCCACAACTGAGCCATTATTAGTAAGTTCCTAGTGTTGCTCTCACCACTTCTGTTCCTGGTCTTTTTCATTGCCTCCCTACCCCTTTTTCTTTCTTCAAAGGCCTTATGTCTGATCTTATTATGGTTTTGCTGCACAATTTCACATTTACATTTTAAAAAGCACATCCTTAAAAGGCTTCTGTGCTAGATGATAAAGCTAACAGTGACAGTAGTAACAATACAGAGAGCTAATAGCTACTGACCATTTAATAGGTACTAAACTGACAAGTAGGAGCTCTGGTGGCATAGTGCCTAAGGCATTTGACTGCTAACCAGAAGGCTGGTGGTTCAAACCCACCAGTCACTCCTAGGAAGGAAGATTGGGCAATCTACTTCTGTAGAGATACTGCCTTGGAAACTCAAGGAGGGGTTGCCATGAGTTGAAATTGACTCAATGGCAGTGAGTTTAAACTAACAAGTGCTTTAAAATCATCCTGCCATTTAATCCACACAATACCCTTACCCCTCATGAACCTGGAAGGGCTGAGATTTGAATCTGGATCTTGCTGCTTTTAAAGCTGGATCTAAACCAACATGTTAAAGTACTCTTAAATAGGAAAGGGAGAACATAGAGGACAGAGCCATTGAGCTTCTGGGATGCTATTTTTAACTGTTTTCATTATGATTATAAAGATCTGGCCACAATGTTATACAGTAATCCAAAACTTTTCACAGAGAGAACTCTCTACGAAGGGTAAACACCATGCCCATCCCCACTAATGCTTTTCTAAACCACTGCCTGCTACAAACCATTTTCTGATATGTGTTTATGCTTCTTTTCCTACAGGAGGAAATATAAGAAAACATCCCAGAGGTAAGAGCATCTTCCTGAGCCAGGGATGCTTCCTGGACCATGGTTGGTGGGGTCATTTGTGGCCCAAACTTCACAAGTTTGATGAACAGTAATTGAAATAAATGGTCTTGTGGTGTCTTCTCAGTGAGTTGCTTGCTTTATCTTCTGGTGGAGACTGTTGCTATAATTTAAATTTGATTGCAGGCATTTTATGTAGCCCAGTAGATGTAGACCTTTACATGAGAGTGGATCCTGTAGATGAAAAAGCTTGTTACTGCTGGACTATTGAGTGATTTTACTAAAGCTTTGACCAAGGAGGAGCTGAGCTAGAGTTGGTGGGGGCTGAAAGTTCATGGATGGGGAGCACACAGGGGTCATTAAACATGTTGTTGAGTTCAAAGCATCAGTACATATATAAGGATTGCTGTTGTTGATAGTTGTTGTCCAGTCGTCTGCAACTCATGGAGACCTTATGTATGAAGAGAATGAAATGTTGCCCCGTCCTGGTGTGTCTTCATGACTGCAAGTATATTTGAGTCCATGGTTGTGCCTATTGTATCAATCCACCTCATTGGGGGTTTCTTTCATTTTCACTGGCCCTCTATCACCAAACATCATGCTCTTTAAAGATAGCGATGCTCTTTTGATTTGACTGTGGAAAGGGCATTTTAAAGTAAAATATCTGTAATCACCCCTCATATACCCATTGTTTAGAAAAATGGATCTATAAAGGTAAAGCCCCTACTGGGCTACAAAATGTGCTTTGCAGGCCCTCTGGGGTGAGAAGCCATGGCAGCTTCAGGCTGACATTTGCATTCAATTGTGTGACTATTAAACGCTGAACATGCATCCTCTGTATTTCCAGTTCAGAGATGAGTTATGGGGTCTTTGAGTGCATGGCCTTGTAGATCCAATGGAGAGCCCATTTTTCAGTGTGTATATGAATTTAACTTTCCATTAAATGCTCTTTGATGGATGTTCTTTGCTGATTTGTGGGAGCAATGTATGTATTTGTGTATGCACACAAGCAAGTTGTGATAATGTGAGAGGATGGTAGATTCTTCAAATAATAGAATAAAGAAATGCATTTAGGAAATGTCATGTACTTCATGGTGGGATTCAGTCATTAGTTCTTGTATATACTTTTTAAAAACAATTATTTGTTTTCATAAAAGTAATTGAAAATTAATGGCATGTAAGGCCTCCATGACTTTCTTAATTTCTCCAGCATTATTTCCTGAGTCCTTCAACCTCCCTTTCAATTCCCTAAATTTCACTACTGCTTTATATCAAAGATGTGATTCTAAAGGGCCAGATGATCATGGATTCTTTCTTAATAAGAACTTTGCTAAACTTTAAGTCTATTTATCTCAACCTCTTCTAAGGACATAGACCTCATGTGTGTCAGGGAGCTTTTTTTAGTTAGATGTTAATTTCAAAAGTGAAATTAAAGTTTGTTAATCTCGAACATACCCAGGAAGCCAGTTGGGCTGTCAGGGAGAGGGTAAGTATTGCCCATCATACTAATTGCAGTTCTTTGAACACATCATGCTGACTTATTCTTCTGTGTCTTTGTATATTGCTGTTCCTTCTCCCTGTCCTGAGTCGTGAACACATTTCATAGTTAATCTTCTTTGAGCTACTACTACATTGCCTGAAACAGTGGCTACTTGGTAAACGTTGTTGAATGAATGAATGAATACTAAGTGCTCATCTTATAGGCTAAACCCTTTTAAGGTATTGTTCAGCCCTTTGGTGATGGAATCAGAGAGAAGCCCCTTTTTTATAAATTTTGTTTTTATGTTGTTGAGATATAAGTCACATATCAAATGATGTATTTCATTGGGCAAATCTGCTGCAAAAGACCTCTTTAAAGTGTTAAAAAGCAAAAATGCCACTTTGAGGATCAAGTGTGCCTGACCCAAGCCATGGTATTTTCAATAGCCTCTTATGCATGTGTAAGCTAGACAATGAATATGGAAGACTGATGAAAAATTGATGGCTTTGAATTATAGTGTTGATAAAGAATATTAAATATACCATGGGCTGCCAGAAGAACTGACTTGGAACAAGTTCAGCCAGAATGCTCCTTACAAGGGAGGATGGTGAAACTTCATCTCATGTACTTTGGATATGTTATCTGGAGGGACCAGTCCCTAGAGAAGGACATCACATTTGGTAAAACAGAGGGTCAGTGAAAAAAAGGAATGCCCTATCTGAGGTGGATTGACATAGTAGCTGCAACTACTGTGCTCTAACAGCAATGATTTTTCTATTGTACATGGGGTGTTGTACAGGCAGTGTTTTTTCTGTTGTACATGGGGTCTCTATAGGTTGGAACTGACTCAATGGTGCCTAACAACAACAACAACAAATCACATATCATACAATTTACCCATATAAAGAGTACAATTCAGTGTTTTTTCAGTATATCCACAGATATGTGACTATATCACCACAGTCAATATTAGAACATTTCAGCATCTCAAAAAGAGACCCTGTATACCCATACACCCATTAGCTGTTCCTGCCATCATTAAACCTCACCCCCTTGTCCCAAGTCACTAATCTATTTTCCATCTGTATACCAAGAACCAAATTCACTGCCATCAAGTTGGTTATGACTCATAGCAACCCCCATTGGGTTTCTAAGGCAGTAAATCTTTATAAAAGTAGATTGCCCCATCTTCCTTCTATGAGTGGCTGGTGGGTTTGCACTGCCAATCTTCTGGTTAGCAGTGAAATGCCTTAGGCACTACACCACCAGAGTGCCTTCTATCTGTATAGATATCTCTACTTTGGATATCAATTTCATGTGAATGGAATTATATAGTATGTGATGGCTTCTTTCACTTAGCATAACGTTTATAAGAGTTGTCCAAGTTGTTGCATGTATCAGCACTTCATACCTTTTATGACAAATAATATTGCATTGTATGAGTATGACACATTGTGTTGATCCATTCATCCATTGATGGACATTTGGGTTGTTTCCATTTTCTGACTATTAGGAATAATACTCTTTTAAATATTTGTATACAAGTGTTTGCATGGACATATATTTTAATTTCTCTTTGGTATATACCTAAGAGTAGAATTTTTGTATCATATAGTATTTCTGTATTTAATTATTTGAAGAACACATATTTGTCTTGAGTTGACTAAACTATAAACCAAGTTATTTTTCCTTAATATGTATGTTCCTTATTTTGCATTTCAGATAATGCTATGTGGATCTTCCAAATTCTTTTCCAGGAAAGGTCAGAATGAATTCTGGAAGGGTTGGGATTGGATTGACACAATCCAATGGAAACCTGAAATATGAAACTATTTTTTATGGTTAAAATATTTAATAAAAGTAATGTGCTAACTTCACTCAAGTGCCAAAATAGTTACTTAATTTTATTGAATAGAATTTGGAAAACACATTCCAAATAAATAGTTGCTTTGACCTTTTGTTGGTCAAACATTCAAAGCTCATAGTTCAATCTAAAAGGAAAGTGTCTGCTTTTCATTGCATCTGACATTAGACACATTCCATTCCATTCAAAAATAACTAATGCAATTAAAGTCTGCCAATAGGTTTCAACAATGACATTTTCAGATAAAAACCACTTTAATCTCATCTTTCCTAATAAGTCTCATCTCATAGTAGAGACTCCTGTGTCACATGGTTCCCACATAAAGTCAGTAATCCAAAGTAGGGGTATAATTTGATATGCAACAAAGAGGTGCATGAGTCATTGAGAAAATAAATGAGCTAAAACTGTAACACTTCCTAGAGGTTGATATACTTTTCTAAATTGAGCTTATATGGAGGCTAAACAATCCTGTCTTGTTCAGGTTCATTGGACTCAGGCTAGTAATTTCATGTGAACCAGTGAGCAGGATGTAAATTAATCACTCAGATGAGAGGGCATAATAGCCTTCGGTAGTGGAAGGTAATTTATCATTTTCACATGTAGTTAACCTGGGGTATGAGAGACTTCAAAGTTGCTTCAATTTTATTTTAAGGAGAGAGAAATAGACAGGTGAGAGGGAGTCTTATAAGAAAGCTGCTCAAACCTGTCAAGTTTTAAATTACTATGTCTATTTTTTTGAAAGCATATTTTTTGCATATCAGATGTGAGTGCTGTTATATTTTTTATGTCACTGTAATAAAAACAGCCAGTCTTGTACCAATTTTCTTGAAGTTGTGCAAAGTAGAGATTAATAGAGGATTGGTTTGAGCGCTTCTATTTTTAATTATATATATATTTTCATATGAAATCAAACCCTGTTCTACTTGTCTATCATTGAGTAACAAACTATCCCCAAACTTAATGGCTTAAACAACAGTTTTATTTTGCTCATAATTTGATGGGTTAAGAATTCGGGAAGGGCTCAGCTGGGTGATTTGAATCTGATTTGCGTGGTGTCAAGTAGGGTTGCTGGGGATGGAGAATCCAATTCCCAGATGGCTTCTTCACTTACATGTTGGGAGCCTTGGTGGTCCTTTGTCTCCTTTTCTATCTTTATGTGACTTTCATCTTCCACAGTGTTTCCCGTGTTGTTTGGGTTTCTTCATCCTGGTGGTTGTAGGGTAGTTGCACTTCTTACATGGTACCTGGCTTCCAAGGGCAAATGACAGGAAGTGGAAGCTTCCAGTGTCTTACTTATGTCCTGGACCTAGTAAGTGTCACTTCTGCTGTATCCTATTCAAGCTATAACAGAGGCTACCCAGATTTAAGGGATGGGGACATAGCTTGCACCTCTTGATGGAAAGGGTGTTAAAGAATTTGTACATCTTTAATGTACCAACCTACTTTCAGTCTTTTTCAGAATATTGCTTGAGACCTTTTCTGGGGAGCTGTAGGTTCAAGGTACCTGGATAATTTATTCGCTCAATGGTAAATCAGCACCACCGCCATCAGTTTCTGTCGGGTCAAATCTGACTCATGGTAACCCCATGTGTGTCAGGGTAGAACTGTGCTCCATAGGGTTTTTAATGGCTAACTTCTTGGAAGTAGGTCACTAGGGCT